GATATTTCGTCATTCAAAAAATTGTCAGGAATTTTAGCAGAATTGTTGCAGTCTTTAGTATTTCAACTGTTTTTCTCGCAATCGTCGGAGCTGATCTGCTCAGTCGATAGCAACTTTACTCTGTGTTTCTTTTAGCGGTAATTCAAGCACAGTTTAGATCGCGCAACATTTTGTTGGACCGGGCGTCAGTCTTTACCTAGAAAACATTGCTGATTCTGTGCACGAGACCAGTGAATGATATGAACTGATCAAATCGGATGTTTAGCATCTCTGAAATTTGTGACATGCCATTCAAGAGGTAATCACAAACGTCAATCATTTTGCAGACGTCTACTACTAGACCGTGCCAAAGAGTGCATTTTAGTCCATCATATTTTGCTGTGGGCCTCAATGATCTGAAAAACTTAAGAAGCTTTTCATACTTTTGCATACTTCTGAAATGTTTTTGTGAGTATTTTGTTTTTCCTACAGTCAGTATATGAGATTTCTCCTTCCAAAGTTCCAGTGCACTTTGGAAGCTGTAAACAGTCTATCCGAAATCCTAGCTACTTATGCGTCATATGTTCTTCAAATGTTAATTTTGCACAACCTTAGAATTGTGTAAGTAACGTAGATTTGCTTAGGTAAGCAGCTTAAAGCATAAACGCCTTTGAGCAGGTACCTTCAAGAATTTGAATCAGTAGCTTGCTAACAATAGACCTGAAAATTGAGTCGAATTTGGAGCACCTTTAGATGAATTGCAAGGATGCTGGACTTGGAAAGTCCTTATGAAATGCAAACGAAAGATTTAACAGTAAAATTTCTTGAACTGAAAGAGGAATTGTGACGCTTCCAAGAAAAATTATTTTGTCAAGAAAAAGAGGTAGCGTTTGAGTTTGGAAAATTTTAGATTTAGAATGTTGGCTAAATATTCTCAAGGATTCAACTTAAATTTTCTTGCTATTTTGATTGAAAGAGATGAGTAGTCTCAGAACTTTTGGGGGAGGAGAAGGTGGAGGTTGTAAGGGCCGCATGCACTAACATTGCCGAGGGGAGGGGATCGCAGCTTAAAAGAAAGCTTAATATTTCGAAACTCCAGCTATCTGGATTTCACGTTGTGTACCTATTCGTAAGTATTCCTACTATCCTTCACTATGAACATGCTGAACAGGAGCGAGAAGCTGTACCAACCGCATTTTCCAGCTTTTGTATGATCTCTGATGATCCCCGGCGCTTTTCTTTAAAGTCATTTTTCTTTTTCCGAATTTAACGAAAAACTTCCAAAGTTGTGCAGATTATCTAACCCAACAGTGCTAAGCATGTTGCTGATAAGAACAAATGATGTTTTGAAGTCACGAAATTTTCGATGATCCACAGGTCGAAATTTGGGGTTTACCGGAAAATTCGATTTTTCAAAAATTCATTTGTTCTTATCAGCAACATGCTTAGCACTGTTGTGTTAGATGTTCAGTACAACTTTGGAAGGTTTTCGTTAACTTCGGGAAATGAAAAATGACTTTAAAGAAAAGCGCCGGGGATCATCAGGGTCATACAAAAGCTGGAAAATGCGATTCGTACACCTTCTCGCTCCTGTTCAACATGTTCTTAGTGAAGGATAGTAGGAATACTTACGGACAGGTAGACAGCGTAAAATCCAGACATCTGGAGCTTTAGAATATGAAGCTTTCCTTCAAGCTGCAATACCCTCCCCAGCGAGAATGTTAGTGCATGCGGCCCTAAGGCAGCTTGGGGAGGGGGAGCACTTAGTGTAGAAAACATGGCCCCGGGAACAGTTGAGAGGGGGGAGGCAAATCCTCAAAGAGCTCAGATAGCAAAACGTTCTACAAAATTCGAGTATCTCAAAGCAAAGGACGGAGCGGCAGCTAAAAGTAGCTGGGAGAGAGCAGTCATGATAGGTTCGCTACGAATCTTCAAAAGTTCCAAGTTTTAGTCACATCACACTTCACACACACAGCCAGTCCAAAGCGCCGCGAAGCGGCGCTTTGGACTGGTACTATATATAAAGCGCAAGCACCCCCATCTGACGTCATCGCTCGCGCCAGTGGTGTAAACAACCGACCATCGTTCTGTGCCGGTGCGAGCGTACCGAGCTGATGGCTCATAGCGACAGTGATGCCTGTCTCAGACGATGTTGATCAAGTGGCATAACCCAAAAAGTGCAATCACAATGTTGATCAAGTGGCATAACCCACGAAGTCACCAGACAAGCTAACTTTCGTATAGTTTCAATTGCTCCAACGTTTTACAAGAGCAACTCGACTTCAACCGAATTGGAACAGGTTAGTTGACAATTTGACTAAAATCTTTGTATTCCTCAAACATTACCATAAAAGATTGCGAATTTAAATGCAAAAATTCATGAACTAGAAACTTACACAATCCAATTACGAATTTAGAAATTGATCGTAGTTTTTTTGTCCATTCTTCAAATCCAAGGTCAAAAAATGCCCAAATTTCACGCAGCAAGAATTTGTTGCATTACGTCAGATTCGCTCTCGCAAAAATGCTTGAAAAATTTGCATTGCTTTTATAGATCATTTTTCTGTGCTTTGGTTCACGATAACTTTCAGAGCGTTTCAGAATCATGCTGTATATGAATGGCAAATAATTAGCATTTTTAAGTTCCAAAGCGGCGCCGAATTTGTTGTAGATCTATTTCCTCCTTCCTTTGGCATCTCAAACTTCTCTATCTCTATTTTGGAGCGTGATTATGAGTGCACCATGTAGAGATAGACATTTCACCAAAATATTGCAGGTTTCTCATATTTCATTTATGTTTCCTAATCGTAAAACAATCGCGCCAAATTTTTATTCAATGAATTTATTCCTTTCTTCAATTTTTCTGCCAACATATTTCAGCAAGGAAGTCGAAATTTTCAGCTTCTCCAAAAAATGCTTAGTAAATGTTTTTATCGTAGGCAAACTGCACTAAATCCGTTTTTGGAAATCACTCGAAATCGGTAATATTTTTTCCTGACAATCTCTGCTTAGAATTTTTTTGACTGACTTGGTTTGGATTATCCTATTGCATAGCACCCATTCCCTTAAGAATTTGTTTTACTGTCTCTGTTTCGTTCTTGCAATGCATGCAAAAATTGCATTGTTTTTTAGTTCATTTTTGTCCTTTGGTTCACGATAGTCTGTAAGTAGCATCTTTCCTGATCGTAAAACAGCTGCGCCAGATCTTTACTCGATAGATTCATTCTATTTTCTATAATATTTCTGCCAACATATCTCAGCAAAAAAGTTTGAATTTTTCTAACTTCTCCATATATTTCTTTGTTTGCAATGCCTATGCCATCCAAAAGAATCTGTCAGATGTTTTAGCGGAGTAGTTGCAGTTTTTCGAATTTCAAGTGCTTCATCACCTTTCTTATTCAGAAAACGTTGCGAAAAACCGTTTTTGATGGATCTATACCGTTCTGTTTCTCTTTCTTCAGGTGTGATCTCTACTAATGTAGACGTGAGCACTTCACTCGATCAGTTTTACTGTTTGCTACAAAGATATATTATATTTACGAGACTCAGCCAGATGTTCCAATTTTTCGCTATTTGTTCAATGCATAATCGGTGTTAATCAACTCAAAAAAACTGACAAATCTCTTTTTGGATATTTTTCACAATGTCGACAAATGCGCTCACTCGAAAGATCTGGAAACAATAAACTCTGTGCAAGAGACATGTTTGAGATGAATTCTTGAATCAGACAGATGTTGGGCATGTCTAAAATCCAAAGCGCCATTCAAGCGGTGTTCACAAACCTCATTCATGGCACAAAGGTTAACTATTCAAAATGTTTCACGGAGTGCATTTTATTCCATGTAGTTTTCACCGTGCGCTTCGAATATTGCAGAAAATTCTCGGTTTTTAGGATTTTACATGTCTTTTAATCTAATTTTGTGAGTATGCTCTTCATATATAATATGATTTTCTCTACAATCAAACGAAGATTCTTCTTTTAAAGTTCTCTGATAATGCACTTTGAAAAAACTGTAAACATTGTTCCCAAAATCTCGGTTTTTCATGCATTAGGTGCTTTACGAATCTAAATTGCTTCCGCAAGTCTGCATCACTCTGCTTAAAAAACGTTCTTAGGTGTTAACCGCTTTAGAATTTGTTCTGATTAATTATGCACATTTTCACAAAAAGCTTCGATTAGGATAAAATACCAACTGTCTAATCATAACACTGCAAGTTTGCATTTAGTACTATCAAATGCACCCCCTAAGCGGCAGCAATCTCGACTGCAAGCCATGGAAGACATAACTGCACTGCAGGTATGATACGTCCAGAAAAATTCTAAGCGGATGGATCATGCATCTTCGGAGCTTTCGAAATTTTAGGAACCTTTTTTCAGGAAACTCCTTCATGTTTATCTCTTCCTTCTCAATTTCCCATTATGTCCACAAGTCGTGTGACAAATCAGGTGTTGTCATTCTATGATCAAAACATTTTCTTAAAACTCATGTAACAAATCCAGACATCAGCTTCACACTACAGCGATGACAGCGGAAATTCCACACTGCTTTCCAGTAATTTAGTACAAGAGGACCTTCAAACCTGCTTGGCGGATCAGGTAATATTTGTGGCAGCTAATCATAAACTCTCGCATGATAACGTTTTAGATAGGCTCTAAGCAGCAGTTGGGTGGAAGCAACGCCACAACTTCAAATTTGGAGTCACGGAAAAAGGAGTCACATCGCTTCTTAACGAAAGCTGAAAAGGAAGCACATAGAAGATCTACAGAAACCCAAGCTGCGCGCGATCTACGTCTTGCTGCTGATGTACAACGAGCAGCTTTGAGGAAATCCAATGAAAATGAAAGCGAGCGCAAGCTACGCCTCGCAGTCAATGCAGAAAGGGCCAGACTGAGGAACGTGGCTAAAGACGAAGAGAGCAGAGCCGACCGCCTTGCTAGAGAGGCTGAAAGAAGTAAAAAAAGAAGAGCGGCTGCTACTGCTGAGAAGCGGCTACTAAGGTCACATACAGGAGTGGATACCATGCAAGCACAGCCTGTGGCAGTATCTCGTAGAGACACTGCGCAAAAATCTCGGAAGCGTCCTCGATCACAGCAATCAGGAGAAAAAGATTGCGTTCCGAGTACTTCCATTTTAAACAATTTCGAAGTCGTGGTTAGTTCATATACTGGAAAGTTTCGATTACAACATATAATTTACAGGAAAACGTTCCGGGTGCAAATTCTTCATATCTTTCTAGCGATATATCTATAGAGGAAATGGCAGATGAGGTTTTCAAAAACGAGAAATTGCTTGAAGGCTTTACGTTTTGGATTCAGGGCGAATTAACATCGCTTGAGCTATTTGAGCAAGAGAGTACTAGCACAATCCTCAACCAACGCATATTGAAAACCTCACAGATTGAAGAATCGAATTCCACTAACAATGAAGTAATTACTACTTTTTTTAAATGGTTTTGATGAGTTTTCTATGTTTGTGGATCTAGCAAACTCAGATATCTAAAGTCCTATGACTTTTTTTTGTTCAGAGCAACTTTGCGAGGACTCCAACGATTGCGTCCACTGTGCTCTTGCAGGATTTGACTTCGCAGGTATATAGCAACAAAACCTCTTTAGAAAAGCTTAAATGCTGCACTTAATCCACGTTTTGTACAGGCCCCTCGTGCACTGGAAGTAAACTTGAATGACGTAGATGAGAATAGTCTCAATTTCACAACTCACCGAAGTTCAGTACGTAGAGGGCACCAAGATTGCGAGGTTACACTACTTCCCAGTGAGATCTCTTCGACTACATGGGGAACTGTGGTGAGCTTGGGTTATGCACATGTTTTGAGTGAAATCACTTAGTATTTCAAGTATCCTCCTCCAAGAACTGCGTTCAGTGAGTCTTTGAATACAACTACAGAGCAGTCTACGATTCAGGTCGGGTCACATGAAACCGTTGCGCTAATTGAGTAAAGCAATGTTTTAGATGAGGTTAACTCGGGGCAATGAACAGCGTTGCCGCAGATCGCCTCCCAACTTCGGCATAGCTTTGACTGGGAATAACATAGCGGAAAACTACTTAGGAGTTCTCAATGTGAGCTGCAATCACTGCGCAGCTCTCTATTTTCCTGGCGAGGCTAAACCTAGGAACGGTTGCTTCAATATGTGTTGCAATTTTGGAAACATCTCTCTGGATCTATTTTCAAATTTCCCGGAGCTTTTCTTTTCCCTATACACTGGAACAAGTGACCTCTCGAAGAATTTCCGTATGCATATTCGGTCTTATAACAGTGCCCTTGCCATGGCTTCAATGGGTGCACAAGTGGACACTCCTCGTGGCTTCGGACCTTACTGCTACCGAATCCACGGCCAAGTATACCATTACGTCGGTCCCGCGAGACCAGAAAAAGGACTTCGTCCACAATTCGGACAAATATATATACTAGACACGGACGCTGCAGCTGCCGAAAGAATTGGAAACCCAGCTAATGCAAATTGTAATGCAACTGTGATGCAGCAGTTATCATCTTGGTTGCACTCCCACAACAGTTATGCTGCATCAATCAAAATGATGGGAGAGGTGGCTGCAGAAGAAGAACAACGAGCTCTCATTGAAAAAAGGCAAATACCAACAATTCGCATGGTTTTTGATGAAGGCGGTAGTTTGGATCGTCGTCGGTACAATGTCCCCGCTTCAAGCGAGATCGCTGTTGTCTACGTAGGAGAAGACAACGATGTTCCGGCAACTCGCTCTCTAGCAATCCATTACAGAGGAGGTAGTTTGAAAAAAATTCGAGACATTGACGGTTGCTGCGACCCGTTAACTTACCCTTTGATATTTCCTAGGGGAGGACAGGGGTGGCATGTTGACCTGAAAAAGAACCCGAGCACGCGCATCCGGACAAGAATAAGTCAGCGCGAGTTTTACTCGAATTTGCTTGCAGTGCGCCGGTCTTTCAATCCACTTCATTTTGCCGGGAAACTTATGCAGCAATTCGTCGTTGATGCATATGTGAAGATTGAACAAAATAGACTAAATTATGCCCGAACACATCAGAAGGAACTTCGAGTCGATAGCTACAAAGGGCTTATGGATCACTTGGCTAGAGATGATACAGACGGACCACCAGGTCAACGGATAATTCTACCGTCTTCATTTCAAGGCAGCCCCCGCGCCATGCATCAGGCTTATCAAGACGCGATGGCCATTGTGGCAAAATACGGAAAGCCCGACTATTTCTTAACGTTTACTTGCAATCCTAAATGGAAAGAAATAACCGAGAATTTGCATCCAGGCCAATGTTCGTCCGATCGACCTGATTTGGTGACCCGCGTATTCAACCGGAAACTGGAAGTCCTGCAAGATCATTTATTTGAAAAGAAGGTCTTAGGGCGTGTAGCAGCTTACGTTGGGATCGTAGAGTGGCAAAAACGAGGTCTTCCTCATTGCCATATGCTTCTCATCATGGCCGCAGATTCGAAGCCAAGGACCAGCGAGAATGTTGATGCAGCAGTTCAGGCGTGTCTTCCAAGTGTCACAGATAGTCCCCGTCTTCTCAGCATAGTAGCAAGGAACATGATCCACCGTCGGTGTGGGACAACCAATTTGAATGCACCTTGCATGGTGAATGGAGAGTGCTCAAAACGGTTCCCAAAGGAGTTTCGAGACACAACTGACGTTGATGTAAACGGTTACCCCAACTATAAAAGGCCTGATGACGGCCGCACAGTAACGATTAGAGACGAAACGTTCGACAACAGGCACGTTGTGCCTTATAATCGGTATCTGTTGCTGCTTTTAAACGCACACATAAATCTTGAGATTTGCGGTTACGTGCAAGCGGTCAAGTACCTTTATAAGTACGTATACAAAGGTCCGGATCGAGCTGCTTTACGATTGCTGCAGCAGGATCCCATCCGACAATCTGACGAGATAAGAGCTCACCTGGACGCTCGCTACGTATGCTCGCCAGAAGCACTTCATCACATTTTCATGTTCGGAAGCCAATTTAAATCCGCTACTGTTTACCGCCTTCCCGTACACCTTCCCGACTTCCAGTTGGTGACTTTTCAGTCAGGTGGGGAACGAGAAGCAGCAGAACGCGAGGCAAGCAAAGACTCCATGTTAACAGCTTGGTTCAAGCTTAACATCGAATACGAGCTTATGGAAAATCAGAACATTATATGTGATGGTGTAGATGCTCGCAATCTTTGCTACCATCAGCTGCCTGAGCACTTCACTTTTGTGAACGCACGTAAATGGAAAAGAAGGGGAAGAGGAAGTCGCCAGATTGGACGCATGTATATGGTGTCTCCCGCAGAACCAGAGAGATTTGCTCTACGTATTTTGCTCCTTCATCGGAAGAACATGCATTCTTTCGAGGACCTTCGCACTGTCGAAGGTAATGTGCATTCTACATTTCTAGATGCAGCGAGAGCTTTGGGATTTCTGCGTGACGATTCCCATTACGAGAGCTGTTTGGAGGAAGCTACTCAGTTTCAAATGCCTGCGCAATTAAGGGCGTTGTTTAGTTATATGCTGGCGTTCTGTGAAATGTCTGATCCACGACACTTATATGATCGCTTCAAGGCTGACATGGCTGAAGATTTTAGTCATGGGGGAGCTACAGCATCTGATGCAGAAGCACTTGCGTACTACGATCTATATGATAGACTGCAAATACTGCGTTACGACCTTCCTGCCAGTATCACTCCACCTACACACATTCGACCAGTACTACAGGACCAAACTGACTACGCTTCTCACGAGGAAAAAGGCAGGGAAATGTATCAGTGCCTCAATAGGCAGCAGAAATCAATCGCAGACAGTATTCTAGCTTCCTTTGATTCGGATGCGTCTAAGCTACACTTTGTCGACGGTCCTGGAGGCAGCGGAAAAACCTATCTTTACAATTGCCTATATCATGTGTTGAAAGGAAAACACAAGTCTATCATCTGTGTCGCGTGGACAGGAATTGCAGCAAATTTGTTACCTGAAGGCAGGACAGCCTGCTCAACATTCAAGTTGAATATGAGGTCTGGAAATCGAGAGAGCACATTGAGACGTGAATCTAAAGAGGCCATCCCTCTAAAAGAAGCAGATATAATCATCTGGGATGAAATCAGCATGGTTTCAAAATTTTCTTTGGAGGCAATCGATCGTCTTTTCCAGGATCTGATGTGCAACACTAAGAATTTTGGAGGAAAGACTGTAGTCTTGGGCGGGGACTTCCGACAGGTGTTGCCTATCATAGAGCGTGGAAGGGATGCTGATATGGTTGATGCATGCGTAAAAAATAGCGACCTCTGGGAGTTTTTTCGCATGCATCAGCTTTCAGTCAACATGAGATCCGCAGAATCTGGCTCTTCTTGGTGCGATTTTTTGATGAGAGTTGGAAATGGAGAGGTAGAAGAAGACGAAATGGGACGAATAGAGATTCCAGCAGAAATAGTCTCTAATGGCAATCTCATAGACGATGTTTTCGGTGATCTGTTGACAGACTTCCACACTTTGAGTGAACGTGCGATTCTGGCACCTCGAAATATCGACGTACATGAAATCAATGAAGGAGTTTTGGATAAACTCCCAGGACAGCTTCACGAATACTACAGTGTAGACGATGTGATTAGCGATGAACCGCAAAACGATTTTACCAGCGAATTTCTCAACAGTCTCACCCCAACAGGAATGCCCCCACACAAACTAAGGTTAAAAGAAGGCGCTATAGTCATGCTTTTGAGGAATCTTGATGTTCGAAATGGATTGTGCAATGGAACAAGACTGATTGTCACACACTTCAAACGTTTTGTTCTGGGATGTAGATTTGCATCAGGAGATCGGAAAGGAAAATGGGCCCTAATACCACGTATCGACAACTTTACAGACAAAGGTGTACCGTTTCGATTGAGAAGGACGCAATTTCCTGTTCGTTTGTCATTTGCAATGACAATAAATAAAGCTCAAGGCCAGAGTTTCACGAAAGTGGGTATCTCCCTTGGAACGGAGATATTTTCACATGGACAATTATACGTCGCCTTATCGAGATGTCGAAGTAAAGAAGGAGTCAAAGTGTATAAGAAAGAGGAAAGAGTGAGGAACGTCGTCATAAGAGCAGTTCTCAATTAATCCTTAACTAACGGCGTTCAAAGCTCAAAGATCATATGCCGAAATCAAGATTGTGCCATTGCGGCCCATTTATTATTTCACGATGCACAGTTTTCCTGCATGCTCCTTGCAAGAAGATCAACAGAGTCCGCAAGCAAGGTATGGCAAAAAACAAAGTCATTAAACTTCGTTAATTCACATTTTCAGCAAACATGTACGTGTACGTACCCATGCGCAAACAAGAGAGAACATAGCGCAAAAAAACAGAGCAGGGTGGGTTTTATTGAGTTGTGGTTCAATATTTTTTCAAATTACAGTTTATCCCGTCTACCTCATTCGCAAGCAAGATACGGCAAGTCCGCAAAATCAGTGCACTTTACACGATTTGCTTTTAAGCTATACGTGCCTTTGCTTATGCGAAGAAAGGGAAAATTCACGGCTTAAAAGAGTGCATGGTAGGTTTTGTTGATATGCTTCAGTATTCTCTGACACGCTTCAAAACCCAACTTACAGGTGCTCTCGCCTACAGACTTATCCATCGCGCAAGTCCTGTGTCTTGGTAACGTACAATTTTCGTCTTAAGGGCCTGGCATACTTACGCGATTTCACTCGCGACGCAATTTGGCAATTCGCCAGAACTCTTCAGATCCAACCAAGCAAATTGCACATGTATGGTATGTATAACTTACTTGGATTGATAAAATGCGCAAATTTCTGTACATCTGAGATATGCTTACAGTGAGTTGTGGACAGTTGGAATATTGCCAAGTCGCGTCGCGACTGAAATCGTGTGAAGTGTGCCCGGCCCCTCACACTTTGTCTTCTCGAGATCAGGAACGTCGGATCACGAGAAACCATGCATCCTGCATTAAATCTGTTTTTCTTGAATATAGTAAACTCGCATATTTTTGATCATTTGTCGGTTTAATATTCTTCCACCTCGATTACTGTCTCCCACATCTTTTCAAAACTTATACATGCATACCTACTCAACTCCTCATATAAAGACTTCTAACGCCACAAAACTTTCGACACATCCCACTCCATTCCTCACACACACAGCCAGTCCAAAGCGCCGCGAAGCGGCGCTTTGGACTGGTTACTGATAAACCATTATATTTTTACCAGTTGTTCTGCTAAGTCAGTGGAACCCGCGGTCTAGACCGTCCTACCGCCACTGAAGGCCCTGAAACGACAAAAACGTGGAAGTCGAAAATCTGGGTGGACGGTGCCTTTAAAATAAGCTGCTGAAGTCTGTATGCATGTGCAGGAACCCAATCTTGCAGGAGTAAGACACTAAGATGCCTGCGTTTTTGGCATGCAAAAAAGAATCTACAGAATTTTATACTCTATGAAAAATCATTAAACGAAAAATGTGACGCCCATACATTTCGGCCACCTGTACAATAGAGAGTACAGTATAGTCTACAATCCAGTCCTATACAGTCATATCTCGACACAGGCCCGTAGTAGTACATGCAACCTAATTCAGCTGAGTCGGGATAAGATCTTGTGGCGTCTGATATCGGTGCGGGCATCTCTGTAGACGAGGAGACTATGCTCTCTCAACAAAAACATACGCGTTAGTGTAGGCTTGGTCAAGTGGATAAATCGCTGCGTTTTAAGCGACAGAGCCATAGTTCGAAACCGGCTTGAGACATCGTTTTTGCTAGTCGGCGAGCAATCTCTGGTGGCAAACAGTAGCAAATCGATGATGACCACTATTAAAGATTTCGTATGTCAAACGAGGGAGTAAAACGAATCTACAATATTTCGACGTGGACTCAAATGCACAATTGTTGTGAAACATATAAAAGGAAAAATTTCACGCTTCTAATTAGCAGTTTCTTGGACAAATTCAAGAATTCCGTGCAAAGAAAACTGTCCTCTTCTTCGACCTTCAGAGCGGAATAACCGCTCAGCAATCTTTTTTACCCTTAGACTCCCGCGACTATGCAGTTTTGATCGTTTGTTGCCCATGGTATCACGTTAGCTAACATGCCCCGAGGTACCTTGAGTAACTTATACGATGACCTGATGATCTGCTCAGATGACCTGAGCTGGCCGAACTACCGCAAGCCTCTATTATTGAAGAAGAAAATAAGAGCACATGGTTTAACTTGGCTTCAAGATGACTGATCAGAAATTTTTGAAAAACCTGCGCAGTATGAGGTCCCAGGATACTGTATCAAGTTACCATTTGATTTCCTGATGGAGTGTCTCCAAAGCTTAGGATGATACTGAAACAATGCTAGGGAGCGAGATGGTTAAGAGTTAAGAAAACTAGAACGAAGCAAGAAATTTCAAAAAAAAAAAACTAGAATGAATGAAGAAAACAAAAACAGTTCCGTAAAAGAACAAATAGTCAATTACTGATCACAGAAACAGATGAAAAAAACGAATATGCGATTTAATTCCATTTCAGAGTGTCTACGTTCAATGGCAGGACAATGACAAAAGACCTACGCGAAACTGGAAGATCTAGAGAAGACAATCGTGCAGTCAGTAAAAGTTAATGTCAAACATGAACACCACCTATCAGTGTTGAATATTGAGGCATTGACCAAAATGCGAACAACTTATCTAGCTATAAAAGGCTAAAAAAATGAAAACTGGGGGCTCAAACCCGTTGCTTTACAATTTTCAAGTGCGATGAGATTCGTTTATGCTTAATTTATACCACGTACAAAGTAGCTGAGCAAAATGAGATCAAAAGTCAATTGAATCAATTTTAGTATGGCTCAAATCCTTTCACAAATGGTATACCAATCCAAACGTCCCTCCGGTAGTTAATATATTGCTGACCTGAACAACATAATGAAAAATTGATTGGGGAGAAGAGCAAACAAAAAATCACTATGAAACCAAAACATTACCAAAGAAGTTTATGAGGTCCCTTTCCTCATCGTAAATCCGTTCATTGAAGAAATTCCAGCTGACGTACGTATAGGCACATAAACAAAATGGATTGCAAAGTATAATCTGAGTTCCTATACTCCACATAAACCATCCTATAAAAAATGTGACATTACACATGCAAGAACAGAACGAAGCTATGTCTTACCAGTATAACCCGGATGTCGGAGATAGGAGTAAATACCCGTGGTGACTAGTCTGTGATCTGGTCGCTTTGTTAGAGCAAGGCGATGAGTAAAACCACTTCCTGCATGAAGCATAGCCAACTTGCGTAGGACTTCTCCGCAAAGGCATATTGTAAAACCAAGTATACTTATAGACCAGACTTTTATGGATGGAATAAAATAAGCCTATAAACAGCTGATGTCTAAATGTGAGGAGTTTCGCAGATAAAACAAACCTCAAAAAAGAATTCGAACCAGCTTGCACATGCTGCTGCCCAGTAAGCAAAAGAGTGATTCAGCAAAAAAGAATCGGGCTGCAAGGACCGTCGATTCGTCACAGCAGTGAAGAAATACTCAGAGAAATGGAACAGTGAAAATACGAAAGAATACAAGCAAAACAAAGCGGTCGGTGAGTTTCTCCACACAAACAACAGAGCCACTGAGGAACCACTTAGCTAGAATATTCAAAAATAGAACAAAAAATGAGCGACAAAAAGACGCTTACAAATCCCAAAAATGTCGCTTGCACGGCGCAAATAGGTTGTTGCCCAAAGTATCGTCCAGTGTAAAAAGATAAGGGAATGCAGATAGAAAACGACGATAAAGCGGTCAGCAGACCGAGATACCAAGAGATTATTGCTATTCCAAAACTCGCCAAAAAACTATGGGCACAACCGCGAAACTCGGTGTCATTCCGATATTGTCGCCAGAGTGATGCCCATGTTACTGGCATCTACAACGAAATCTACTACATATTTGTTTGGCAATCTTGATGACGGATACGGATCACGCGATGGTTGTATCTGATGAATGGATGAGGAACAGGAGTAATGGTGTATCACAGAGGTAGTAACAGGGAAGTACTTCGGACTAGACCACCAGCGAGAATTAACAGACATAAAATTTTATTGTCATCCTGCATTTAAAGCATCCGACGTCATCATTATGAGTGCTCCTGCGATAACGGTAGTAACTCCCATGCAACGTCGACGGTCAAGCATCCGCTCGCCTAAAAGCGCAATATCACTAGTGCGTGTCTTGAATAGCCTGTTTTAGACATCGGTACCTCGAACGATTCGACCAAAATGGCAGTCGTCACGCTATCTGGCAATTTGCCGAATGTTTGCAAATTCACTGCGTGCGGAAACAAGTACCTTTTGATTCAACTGGCTTGGAGGCTGAAAGGCGGGGCTTCGTGACCTGATTAAGGCTAGGTAATGAGCAGAGAGCATGCGCGTGGGAGAGACGCAAACTGCGTTGCGGGCCAGAGCGACCTCAGATAGGTTACAAAGCCCCGCCTTCCGGCCGCCAAGCCAGTTGAATCAAAGGGTGTAACTCAAAAAACACATCATAACCAAATTTTCAAGCTCATACTCAGTAGCAATAAATTATCTATGCAAAAAAAGAGAAATACCCTATAGGACTTACTTTGACTCAAAGTAGTCAATGCTCTACAAAAACAACGTCCCCAGAAACCTCGTTCAGATAGCAAAACAGGTAGGAAAAAGCAAAAGAACCGAAACGATTGATAAAGTGTGAAAAAGCACGGCCAAAGAAAACATAAAACACAACTTCTCAAACCTGTTGGAGTATGCTTTACGGAAATAACGTCCTCAAAAGCTTCGTTCATAGCAAAACAGGTAGGAAAAAAAGCAAAAGGGCCGCAATGGTTGGTAAATTATAGAAAAGCGGCTAGAGAAAAAATGAAACAGGACCTCAAACCTGCTGGACTATGCTTTATGGAAATAACGTCCCTATCTACGGCTGCTGGGTGTATGTCGAGAGGCGCGATTCTTATTGCCAAATAGCTGGCTTACCCGGCTCCGCCGTATCCGGACCAAACTTGGCACACATACACTTCGGGCCCCGGCGCGTGTCACAGTCCACTTTTCGTTATCGATCGATGTCGATTTTACCGATTTTTATCGATTTTTTTGCAGAGTTCACCTACAGGGCTAGGAGTTTGCACAGGGGGGAAGTGAGCATGGGGATTCCGAATACAATATTAGTTTTCAGAATTATCGGTTACTTTTATTGATTTTATCGATTTTTTGTAAATTTTGACATGCGAGGCTGGGATTTTGCACAGGGGGGTAACCGAGCATGCTGATTACGAACACAATATTAGTTTTCAGGATCGTCCATTACTTTTATCGATTTTATCAATTTTTTTGTAAAGTTTGACCTGCGGGGCTGGGAGTTTGCACAGGGGGGTAATCGAGCATGCAGATTACGAATACAATATTAGTTTTTGAAATTATCCATTACTTCTATCGATTTTATCGATTTTGCAAAATTTGAGCTAGGGGGCTGGAATTTGGCACAGGGGTGTAATCGAGCATGCTGATCACCCCCTTGGGGATGATCAGCATGCTCGATTACCCCCCTGTGCCAACTCCCAGCCCCCTAGCTCAAACTTTGCAAAAAATCGATAAAATCGATAAAAGTAATCGATAATCCCGAAAACCAATATTGTATTCGGAATCCCCATGCTCGATTACCCCCCTGCGCGAACTCCCAGCCCCGTAGCTCAAACTTTGCAAAAAAATCGATAAAATCGATAAAAGTAATCGATAATCCTGAAAACCAATATCGTATTCGGAATCCCCATGCTCGATTACCCCCCTGTGCGAACTCCCAGCCCCGTAGCTCAAACTTTGCAAAAAAATCGATAAAATCGATAAAAGTAATCGATAATCCTGAAAACCAATATCGTATTCGGAATACCCATGCTCGATTACCCCCCTGTGCCAACTCCCAGCCCCGTAGGTGAACTCAGCAAAAAAATCGATAAAAATCGATAAAATCGATATCGATCGATGACGGAAAGTAGCCTATGACACCCGCCGGGGCCCGTAGCGTATGTGTGCCAAGTTTGGTCCGGATCGGTTCAGAAATGGAATTTTCTATTCGGAACATACGTACACACATACAGACAGACAGACAGACAGACAGACAGACAGACATACAGACATACATACAAACAGACATTCAGCTTTATATATAAGATGGTCAGCATATAGCACATATTCGGCGTTTTATGAAGTTCTAGGATTACTTGAAACTTCAAAAGAGATAGATTGATTAATTGCACGGATTGTTCGATCTAATCATTTTGAGATCGATTCCAAACAAAGTTGTTGAAGGTCGAAAACTCATGAAAATGAAGTTAATAGCAACTTTGTGAATATTCCGGTCAGTTTTTAGCAAAGGTCGTCAAACTTACTAAGTGGTTGCATCAAACGGTTCCATTGGCTCACTAGCCAAAGTGTTAAAAAGTGTTATAAAGTGTTAAAAAGTGACTACCACAGTCCAGCATTGCGAGATTAGACTTTGTCTGGCACTTTTTAACACTCTCACAGCACGAAGCTGGAGTTTTGATTTGGTGACAGCCAGAAAAATCGCGCCTCTGGACCGTTTCTCACGGCTGCTCAGCGTCTTATCATTTACTATTACTTCCCAGAAGTTGAGATATTTCAGAGCAATTAGGAGTAGTTCTCTTGCACCGCAATTGAATTACAACATTAGTAAAAAGGTACAGACTGACCAATTAAATGCCCAGCAACGGCCGTAAACACGAATTGCAGTGCATTCACACATGGAACCACGACAGACACAGGATAGCGAGATACAAGCATTACGAAGAGTATCTAAAAAAAGGGCAGCATAACTGCACGATCCAGTCATAGTGATGTGTCAACAGAGTAAACTTACCGAAGCACTTTGATTCACTATAAATGGTATCGAAAACCTCCAGTTCATGAGAAGAGCTGTCAAATCGAACAGAGGTGCAAGCAGCCTTCGACAAACACTAAGAGTTTGTGCATCTAAAACGACAAGTCAACGATCAGCATCAAAAAAAGTTGACAAAGTTGAAGATAAACTCTGTGGACTACCACAGTCCAGCACTGCGAGATTAGTATCTCCTGTAGCCATATTCATCAATGAACCTAGTGGATTTCGGAACCAACTGGGTAGAGTTAACCCACCAGACCGGTACCCACGAAGCAAGTGGGTTAGCGTACCCAGCAGAGCTCTTGTGGATATCGATCCTACCTAGTTGGTTCGCAAACCCACGAGCTTTCCCGAAAAGTCTACACTCTTGTTGTTGCTAGAAAACTCCCAATTGCTCAGATTAATCCCTACGAGCACTGTGAAGTCTTAACAGAAAATGGAACCTCACCTCCCATCACCTGTGGAGTTGATTTTGATCCCAACCGTAGCAACGGATTCGTTGCACCCCACAGAAATCCAACACCAACGATAGCCAGAGCACAATCCCAGGAACAGACTGGAGAAGCAGCTACTGTCATACTGCAACAACAAGAAATTACATTTTCAAGGAAGTAAGCCTCGTGCGGTCATTGAAGATAGAATTAGACACAATGACACCTCAACGTTGTAATCACTAAGCTTCTACAAGGAACTACACATACTAGTAATGAAAAGAAGGAGTGCAGGGGAGTATTAGTTGCCAGTAAAAAGCTCAGCTATTGTGCATAAAAAAGAGAAAAAGAAGAAACAAGCTGAGTAAGGAAGAAGCTGTTTGAAAGCGTTGCATAAATTTTACGTACTGTAATATCTCAATTACCGCAGACTACGTCACCACAGATCTGACGGCTATTATGAAATGTGATCCGGTTTTTCTTATCGGTTCAGAAGTTCAGCACTAATCGATCTGTTTTGTTAGTTAAACGTAATCTTTTCATACTTATGCCGCTTGCCCATTCATATCATTTTCCCCATTGATTTAGTCGATGTCTTGCCACATGTCATTTTGCCACGTTCCGAAATGGATCGTTCTGATATTTTTGCTAGCCGCTTTCGTTCACTATTCCTTTTCAGCAACATAGTCTGATCCTCTGCATTGCCTCTACTCGTAACAGTCTCATCATATAAACATGGAGGGGATGCCTCGGGTACCGATGCTCCAGCCGGAGCCAAAAATCCCAGCTAATCAGTATGATGAAGAATTCCGACTGAAGATCAAAGAGGTGATTTGTTGAGAAGTGCTACTGGTTGATTTCAAACCCTATACCTTTCAGTATATCCTTCTACATTTCCAAGATGATCCCAGTAAATATGACAGTGCCATCACAGAGATTATGACAATGAAACAGGTCAGTGATTTCCAGTTTCTTGACCATCTGTTTCTTCTCGACTGGTATCATAATTGCTTTCGTTCTGTTCAATTATTGCCCATAATCTTGAATAAAACGAAAAGCCGTTTCAAAATGACTTTGCAAGTTTCGCAGAATAGTTTAGGGTGATAAGGAAGTGAAACTTCTTGAGGAATTGCTCTCGGTTGTGTGATTTGATATGTGTTAAAAAGGCTTAAATTAGCTGATATGAGGCCTCGGCCAGACCGCTTAAAAGCGCCCAAAAGCGCTCAAATTTTTCTAGTGTCTTTTCACCTTTTCGTATGAGCAGAGATGAGAGAATTGAGAAATTTAGGCGCTTTTGAGCGATTTTGGGTGCTTTTGGGCGCTTTTGAGCCCACTCTGGCCGGAGCCTGAGTAGTCATCATAAATAAGCGCAGCGCTGCGTATGCGGCGGGTCTGCTAATTGAGCCACCGCATGAATCGACTATGCACTGCAAGGTAGAAAAATTAATTTGAAAACAAGATTCAAATCTGTAACTGTTTCCCATCCATTCGTTTTGAATATAGGTTTAGCTGGCCATTCCAGAATATAAGTAACTCGTATGTGGATGTCGAAACAGCCTGCTTACTGAAGCGCTACTATGCACAGTTACTCATGATGAAAAACCGCTTCCCAATGGAAGAGGGCGATCCAATCAAAGTCTTGTTTTGCTGGTAGGTTTTCAGTTTAATGCTTACTTGTTCAATTCAGTATTGCGCAATTATGCCTCTAGGTATGACAGAGCGATGGATATCGCTCACTCAGCTACATACGACGACGTTGGGTTCGAGTTAGCTTGCGTGATGTACAACATCGGCGCTGTTCATGCTGCAATTGCAGCAAATGAGTCAAGAGAGAGTGAAGATGTGAGTTATCTGGCAGCAAATTTGCTGAGGAATTTTTATCTTTGGAAGTTATGTGATTTTCAGAGTATAAAGAATGCTTTTATGCATTATCAATATGCCGCCTGGCCGTTGCAACATCTTCGCGACAAACTGAACGCATCAAAATATGCTTCGGTCGATTTCGACAAAGAGTTGTTGACCTTCTTTGTTAATGTGCTGTTGGTGAGTCCTTACATCATCATTAACAGTTGACTACTCTCTTGCGTTACCTAAAATGAATTGCTTGATTGCTAAAAAAACTGTTCAGGGCCAAGCACAAGAATGTCTGCTTGAGAAAAGTTTGATCGACCATCGCAGCAATTTGGTTGTGTCAAAATTGGCCATACATCTGAGAGATCGTTATCGAGAATGCTTGCACCACATCGAAAATTCAAATCTCTGTGATTATGTCTCATCGCAGAAATATAAGGTAAGTTCATGGTGTACAACCTTGAATCATGTTTTTGCGTTTTTTTTTTCTTCGCTAATTTCACCGGCTTTTGGCGTTTAATTACCCATTTCATCCTTTTCCGACATACATAATTGAATGGTCTATGCGTTGCTCATTTGACATAAGAAAATATTCGTTCTACAGCAATGGTCGCGCACATGTGCGATAAAAAGCGAAATGTATGGCGCCGTCGCGATGATTCATCTGGGTTGCCAAGCAGATGATGACAAGAAAATGGGAGCGAGGTAAGAGTCACAGAATGCAGTTAGTATCTGGATCATATTCCCGGAAATGTCTCTTTCTGGTGGATGAACTGATAATTTATATGCGATTTTACTGTTATTCGAGACTATTTTTGCTGCTGTGTCCATATTCTTTTCAGGTATGGCTACTATAAGATAGCAAATGATCATTTAACGGCCATCTTGAAGCTAGCGGAAAAGGAGGACCGAGAAGCTATGCGAGCGTCGATTGCATTTCTTTCCGACGTTGTTGGGATCAAGTACGTAAGCACCTAGTTTTCTTTTATGCTTTAAAAGGTTTCCTTTTCAGGCTAAACAATGCTAAGAAAGAGAATGAATTTATCTATCACGATCGGGTGCCGGGTCCTGATGAATTGTGCAAAGATCTGGAGGTAAGTTACGAAGTTCTCGTTTGCGCAATCTTGTAAGTTTCTGTGTTCAAGGGACTCTGCAAAGTTCGCCCTCTCTCCTTCGATCCTTTGGATCCATCGGTTGGCGGCGATGACCTTTTTGGAGGGCTTCTACCTTCTGGTGTTGTAAAAGCCGTTTCGGAATATGAAGAGGAGAAAGCGAGGCTCAAACGTGAAGTCTTGGCGAGAACCAATGCCAGGGATGATGAGTTGGAGTCAGTGCTCAGCGTTTATATGTTATTGTTGGAGTTCTATACTTCATATTCCAGCACATTCTTGGTTGCCCTGAGAGTTGATGAAATAGACTTGGATGCAGAAACCACGCCTATCCTGCCAGACATGTTGCTTGAACGGAACGCTGCTTTGACAACGCAGCCGGATGCTATTCCAAAGCTGCTGGACAGCTTGCAAAGTGAGGAAACTCCCGGGGTTCAAGTGAAACCATCATTTGAGAACCTACTTTTTTAGAAGTTAGTGATTTGGCTCACGAAGCAGGAGCGAAATTGGGTAATCTGTCGTCACGAATAGCTGAAGTGGATCTGCCTGAAATAGTGAGTATCTATAAAAGTTGCTCGAAGGCAGTGTCTCGGCAGAATTTCCTTTTCCAGTTTTTCACCTCTTCGAAGCCTTTTTGCCATGAGGAATTCACGTCTGGACTTTTCAGCGCATGAAAATGGCGAAAGTGAGCTTTTTCCAAAGCTTTCCAAGTCCGCATTCAGTGAGTACACGCCGAAAGTCTTTTGTGCCCCGCCTCCCTTGTTCCGGACCCCGCCCACTTGCACGTATTCCCCATTGAATGCGGAGCTGGAGAGCTTCGGAAAAAGCTCATGTTCGCCATTTTCACTCGCTGAAAGCCCAAATATGATTTCCGCATGGCGAAAAGGCTCCGAAGAGGTGAAAAATTGGAAGATGAAATTCTGCCGAGGCACTGTGCCATTAAATAGTTTTAATTTTATTTCTCATTCTCTAGACATCCGACGAGGGTTACAAGGCAATCAAGAGTGAATTGGAGCGGCTTACTGAGCATCATCAAAAAGCAAGGTAAGTCACTTTTGAGATCTTTTTTTGGAAATTCCTTATCTTGAACTTACTCATCATGAAATTTTTTGTGTTAGCAAAATAAAGTGTTGCATAGAGCTTTTTGATATCTTTAGTGGAAGGATTTTGCAGTTATCCTTTTCAGATCAAACAATGTTGAGCTACATAAGGCTATTGCTGCCCATACTACCAACTTGCACTTACTTAGCTTGCCGATAGCAGAACTCACTAGCAAACTCGCTGGACCAGCCATCAATGCTGGTTTGTTTTCACCTTTGCAATTTATTTATATCGCACTTCAGTCACAAATTAGCATTCTACAAATGTTCAGGTGCCACACCTGAAGGGGCTGCTCTTCGCCGTTTACTAGATAAAACTCGCGAAATGCAAGCTCAAAGAGCTCAACTCGTTCAGCGGTTGACTGATGAAATGAACAACGATAACATTGCCAAGAAGCTGTTGTCAGAGAGGGACACGGATCACAAAGTAGGCATCACGGCTTTTCTGGTTTTGTTCTTCACGCTGATCTCAAAATTAGGAGACCTTCACCGCTGAGCTGAAAAAGCACGAGGAAACCATCAAATATATCGACGCCAATCTCTCGGCACAGGAGAAGATTCTCTCAGCTCTCACGGAGGCAAATGCTGATTTCTCGGATTATAGGAAGAAGATTAAGGCATCATTGAATACGTGAGTTACTGCCCCTTATAAATGAAGAGAATAATTGACTTCCATGCTTTTTCATTGAATTTGATAATTTTGCTATAGTTTTTGCCAGTTGTTTCATTACAATAGCTTCTTTAGACGTTCTGAACAAATAATGACGTTGGTGACTGCATATGATGTTTATTCTGATGTGTGCAGCAAAGTGGAAGACGGAAGAAAGTATGTTTGCGTTTATCTCTACCAAAAGCTCTGTATTTTCTTTCTCGTTCAGCTTCTACACGAAGTTGCTAGACCGCCTACACAAGCTGACACTTGCTGTCGAGGGGATTGAGGCTGCATGTAAGTCATTCATTTTTCCAAATTTTGTCGAATCCTGAGGTAGTGAAAGGGATTCTCTCTGCTAATGCAGCTTTTTTGGTTGGTGCGGATTACTGTAGCTATCTTTGCAGTTGGAGCTGAGCGACAAAAGCGCGAGGCTGAAAAGCGATCATTGGAGGAAAAAATGGCTGCTATCAAGAAAGCCAGTGAAGCTCGAGAAGCCCTCGCTGATTTTGCAATCGGCGGAGGTGCACCAGCTCCAGTGCCAGGTTTATCGCCACCTGCTAGAGGTGAGTCAGTGTTTGAGTTGCAAAGGTTGCAAAGATTTTGAAGTTTTAGGTGGCCGACCTCGACTGGGTGATTACATGGATTTCTATCGCAATAAAATGGCTGCTGGCAATTCTCCTGGGATCGCACCCCTGCCAGGTGCAGCTGGTCCCTATCAGCCTCCTCCAATGGGTGTACCCTCTCAACCCGGTCCTTATTATGGAATGCAGCCTGGACAACCGCCTCACTTCCAGGGAGGGCACCCTGGTGGATATGCTGGACCGCCATCGCCTGCACCGAGCAGTATTCCAGGTAGGACGGCGGTTTTGTTGTTTTTCTGATGTCTCTCATTTTGGTGTTTAGACTCTTCCGGTTATCCGTACCAGCAGTTCCCAGATGAACATGGGCGACCATCTCCGATACTTCAGCAACATCCTTACTCGCAAGTCTCACCAATGCCTGCTGCATCCTACGCTGCCCAAGCGATAGCCCAAAATCCAGCGCTTGGTCTTCCAGCGCATCTGCAAGGCGCTCAAGCTCCCAGACATCAAACACCTCCTCCGTCGCAGGCTTACGTGCCTCAGATGCCACCACAGAGCAATCATACGCATGTTCCTGTATCTGCGCAATACCCGCCTGGACAGTATGCGCCTTATTCGGGACCAGGGAGTATGCCTACACCTGCGGTGGCGACTCCAATCGCTTCTGTAAGTGCAGCACCGCCAGTGGCGCAATGGAACGCTCCACAACAGCAAATTCCGGCTCATATGGTACCGAATGCGCAAACGCAGCATAATCCGCCCGTGGCACATCCAAACTTATCATCTGCTTCGCAGTATCCTGGATCTGCTCCTTTGGCTGGATCACAGCATTTAATGCAACCAGCTCCTGTCCAACAGCAGCAGCCACCCATCTCGATGCGACATCAGAATCCTATGCTTGTTCCACAAGCAGCTCCGCAGCCATCTCTACCTGCTGCATCTGTGCAAAATTACACAGGAAGGCACAGTGAACCCTATTCGGCGCCCTTACCCCCTCAACAGCCGGCTCCGTTCCCTCCTATGTATGTCAATCCTCCGTTGGGTCAGACCCAGCAAGTATTTCCACAACGACCGGAGCCAAGTTTTGCCCCGATACAACCTACACAGCATTCCGCGCCAATGAATGGCCTCCCAATGCAGCAAAGCTTTGACCAGCATGTGCAGCCGGTACAACAGCAGCAGCAGTTTGCGACAATGCCAATGGGTAACCAAGGCAGCGGAACGCCACAGTCACAACCTGCTTCTAGACCCGTGAGTTTCAATTTATTGATTCTGTGATTGTGATCTCTAGTTCCATCTTTAGGGCTCACAAACACAACAACCGCTCCCACAGACTCAACAGCCGCAGCAGAACCAGCCTGTGCCTCAATTTGCACCTATACAACCCAATGGAATCTCTCCATGGCATGTCGGCGTAGTTCCTAGTCAGGTAAGGTTATAATACCTTTAGTATCACTGATTAATTGCAGTGTGAGGCACTTGCATAATTTTACTTTTTTTTTTACTTTTTAAAATCCTTTTTAGTCACCATCTCCTTGGCACGTTGGTGTTGGCGTCGCTGGAGCACCGTCCAACATGTCTCCTGTCCCTTCAGGCCCTGCACCTCCACAGCAGTACCAGCACGTATCTCCTGCCCCTGCACCTCCTGCTCCTTCACAACAGTATCAGCCACCGCAACAACCAGTACAACAACCAGTCAGTTTTGCAAAAAAAAATTAGGCATCTCTTTAGCTAAATCTGAACCTTTCTTTCCCAGTTTTTATCACTTTAGAATTTCTTATTTACTGTTTGATGCAATGATATTATTTTATGTAGCAACTTTGGTGCAAGGCAGTGTTTATCTCCAATTTTCAACTGTCGTTTCCAGGTGCTAGCGCAAACTCCGGTTCAACCACAGCAGAAGCCTATTTCAAATGTGGTAGGTTGAACATGTTTTTGTGCATGTCCGCAATTCCAAATCTGATTTTATGATGGCTCGATTTCTATCACCGGCTTTATCCTTTCATCCATCCATATTTTTGCAGGATCTTCTGGATGGAATAATTGATAACCCCAATCTGCCACCGGCTATGATTCCGCAGCCAACTTCTATGGGAAACCAAGGTGTGTCTCGTTTTGGCAATCGTTTTCATTTTTGTTGGTTTTGAACCTTCGTCTTTTTTTATGTGGGGAGAAAATTGTAAGCTTTTGTTTTTGTAGATCTGCTCCGAGCATGCGCTCCATCTTCGTCAACTATATCAAATGAGTCATTGACTCTTTCTGCTATAAATCGACTACCCGGAACGCCTGTTTCTTCACCGGCCCAACAAACGACAGCGCCTCCTGCACCCAATGTTAATAGTTCGCAGACACAAGCAACATTGCTGAATAATGTATTCAGTGCGCAAAGTCAAGTTCAGGTAATGTCTTTTTGCAAGTTTGTTTTATTTCTATAGTTTCGAATCAACTCATCTTTTAGATCCCCCCACCAGCAGCGCAAGCTCCTCGTCCTGCGGCTGCTGTTATGCCCATTCAACATCAGGGAGTGTCCAACGTCCCATCGGACCGTACAGTAAGTTCGTCTTGAACGTGGTTTGTTTGTTTTGAAGTTGGGGACCTTTTTTGCGCATCACGAAAAGATGTTGTCTAGGTTTCGGTATCTACACCGGCACCAGCGACAGCACCAGTTTCAGTTCCTACAACAACAGTAGCTTCTTCTCAGGTCAGTCATGCACGCTTATGAGGTTGCGAATGATCTGATTGTTCAATTTCAGTCGTCCAGAATTCTTCCATTGTCTGAGCTCATGGATCCGTCAAAGTTCGAACTTGGCCCTGGTGATAAAACAAGGCTCGAGAAACGCCAACTTCATGAACATATCCGAAGTGGTGGTGACGTTCCATTGCCCCAGTTAGACCCCAACGATCCCTTGAACACATTGGATCCATTCTGGAAGACGAGATGAGATTGTGTTTGATATTTTGAGGTGAGGATTAGTTGATGCGTTTTTGTGATGTGGACGTGTTTCCATTTTTTGTTATGCCGTGAAAAAAAAATCCCATTTTTATGGTGATAACTTTGAGAGTCCACAGCTGCTCGCGTTGCGACATAGTTCCCAACGTGGCGCGACTATACCGTAACTAATCAATAAAAAATGCGGCTACGGTACCCAGTACCGTAGCCGCATTTTTTTATTGATTTTTCTTATGCTCTCAAGTGTGTAAATCGTTATATATTTTTTACCTCAGGTAGTCAAGTCCAAGAAGTTCTTTTTTTTCGCTTTTGTAACATCCTTGCTGTCTCTGAGCGTTGCGCTGACCGGAAACTAGCTGGAACGCGGCAATTGTGGGCCATAGCTATCGCCACTCCTCCACATGGGACATTATAATCCCGTAACAAAATTTGGTTCCTATGTGGGTAAGCCACGCCCTGTCTAAAGATTGAGTGATCCCAATTTCTTGATTTTACGTGCGAAGTAGAAAATCATCTGTTCGACATCATGGCTAGCGTATGACGAGACGTCTATCTTTGCATCGCATTTTTTTCTTCAATGACAGAAGTGTAGATACATTCCTGTGATATCTATTGCTGATTGATCATCTATGACCGTCATTGCATGCATTCCTTATTTCAGATCTGTGACGTGAACTCTTCGACGTTGACCATCGACCAGCATTGGATTGTTGTGACTTGTGTGTGTGCCGTGTGTTTTAGTCATCTACATATTTGTGATTCAAAGTAATAGTTCTGTGATTACCGTGTACATGCAAAAATTCTTGTTTTGACCGAATTTCTGTAATCTGTTTCTCGTGTGCATAATGTGCTTCCACTTTATCTGCTATTTTCATTTTTTCATTCTCCGACTGTGATTGTAAAGTAAGTATGAAAATGCCAAATGTAAGGGTTAACTTTGCGCAAGGGTGAAGTTCCGGTGGTGGTGGTGTTTTCTGCTTAGTGAGATTATATTATTCGACTAAGTCATGCATGTGATGATTATATAAGTAAGCCATAGTAGTCCAGTAAAGCTATGTTCATCTTGTTTATATAGCAGTCTTGCTAGTAAAAACTTTTCTAAATGTTTTCTTGAAGTTTTTCAAAGTAAGGTATGATGATAAATAAAAAATGGGGCTCTAATCTCATTTATATACCGTTACTAAAAATCGAAGGAGGGCTCTGGGAAAAGAAATAGAGAGACGAAGGCTCTTGAAACCAAGGTAGCTGTTTATGCTAACTTTTGATTCAACTGCTTGGCGGCTGGAAGGTGGGGCTTTATGACCTAATTAAGGCTGCGCGCGTCCGCTACGCGGTCTGCGTCTCTCCCGCGCGCGTGATCTCTGATCACTACCTAACCTTAATTGGGTCACGAAGCCCCGCCTTCCAGCCGCTAAGCCAGTTGAACAAAGGGTATATATTGCCGTAATCGGCTTTGACTTGGACTCTGCAAGAATTTGATGCTTATCTTTGCAGCGACAGTGAACACTGTTAACTGTACTGGAGAACGTCGCTACCAAACACTTTTCTTAAATGCGCGGAATTCTATCTATGCTTTTGTATCTGTCTCATGATATTCAGATTGAACTTTATCCATAGTAACCTGGCTTGTTCCAAAAGAGATTGAATCGGAGAGCAGTATCGGGGCTTATCTGGATATTCACTTGGATATTTTGGTCTCATACTCAGACTCGCCGGAACTTGCGCAAGACAAGCAAAATTTGCATCGGTTCCGCAGGATTTTTTTCACTATCATAACAAAGTTGAAGCGTTTAAAAAGGGAACTTCCGAAGGGTTTTCACGCCAGATTGTTAAAAAAACGGGAACTTCCGCAAGGCTTTTTACAAAATTCTGCAGAAGTTCCGAAAAATGCCAGCGGTTCCGCAGTACTTTGACTTTCTAGTACTTCCGCAGGACTTTATGTGGTGTTTGTCACGATGTTGATCGCCAGCAACTAGAGTGCGTTATTGAAGATGTCATCCTAGTGCAGAGGATAGTGAATGAGTCCCACAGTCAACAGAACATCGTTCGAATCTCGCTAAAATGTTCCCTTTTGTTGTTGTGGTTGGCATTCTTCGGAACTTCCGCAGCACCTAATTTGGGTTCCGCAGCATTTGGTTTGGAACTTCCGCAGCACGTTTACGCAACTTCCGCAGGTGATCCGCGCAACTTTCCCAAACATTCTGCGGAAGCTCCGGTCAGTTGTGAGTATGTGAAAATTAGAGGATTTCATTATGATTCCTTTCTGGAAGAGAGAGCTAAAGCGGTGTACTAGACCTAGAGATGAACTTCTTGACCATGAGTTATATGGGCTACGAATTCGGCAGTGGCTGAATAAATGACTCGAAATTAGTAAGCACACTCAAGACCGAGGCTCAGGCTTGCCTGACCTGCTGCCCAGGAAGCAGGGAAAAGCCGCGTATAATTTGTGGGATGGGAATGCGGGCGTAGTGCAAGCAACAAGAAAAGTAGAATTTCTTGTTCAGAAAGCATACAAACGTGGCAATTGACGCGATATTCACGAGTTAATTGCCACGTTCTTCACACATCTTCTCTATTTCTGGTGCCGTTGGTCGTCATTTTCTCTCCCTGTCACCAGCAGCCCGACATTTTGAATAGCGTGCTTCATCGTGCCACATATTTCTGATCAACCTTATCCCTATTCCACATTTGGCTAGCTATTGAAGACTGGGAAACGACGGCAGCATTAGGTATCCTACCCTTTGTTTCACTGAAGTTGGTGGCTGGAGGGAGGGTCTTCGGTTGAGTAGAGAGCTCGCACGAGATACGGGGCCTGCTGTCCCACGCTTACTTGCTCTCCAATCAATCAAAGCTCCGCCCCTCAGCCGCCGACTCCGGTGAGACAGAGGTACAAGTGTCGTACCATTCAGTTCAGAAGTTTCGCTCCAATAAACTCCATTGTTCAAAAAGTTTTAGTGAAGAGGATTAGGATACTGAGCAGCCATGATAACTTTCAACCTTTTAGCCGTCCTCATCTTCTATGATGTTACTAATAACTATTCTTCTACGGTATTCAGTATTAGAGCGAAATAACCCAATTCTAAAAGGTGTTTAGGGGTGACATTGAAAATTTTTGACTACTGCTTAGGCGACAGCACATGAAATTCACTCGTGGCCAAGAACTTAGCATTGATTCTCGCCCACTATCGTATTATTCTCAAGCGTACCGTATCCGGGGATGCTGATTGGTCCGCTTGGAGGGCGCACGGGATGTTTGGACATAAATTTCTTGGCTGTGAATGAGATACACAACGTGCCGCTTGAACAATATCTTCGTCAAAACTTTCAAATCAATTTATAGAATTTCCAGAGGAAAAATTTGGGTACATAGGGTTTGCCTGGTACAATGCTTATAGATCTCGTGCCGAAGCGCACGTGTCCTCACCCGTTGCTGGTAGACCGAAAATGTTTGTTGAAAATATTTTTTTTAGCTAGGGTGGGCTGCCTGCTGCGCAGTCCAAAAAGGGGTGTGGCATTTGAAACCACAAGTTTCCCTTCAACTGTCAAAGTTTATGGTTTTTGCGGTTGTCGCTCACATCTTTGCAAGTTTTGACATTATCTTGTACCATAAAAAGCCTCAATTTTGCTTCGTTTATTATTACATCGCTCAATAAATATTTTGATTGAAAGTGTGTACTTTTATCTTTGTCAAACGGTTCCGTCCATTGCTATTATCACTCTTCAATCTCATATGAACTTTTTTCCTATTATTTGCGTCGTCTACCTCCTATCAATGTGCGTGTGTTTACCTTTCGCTAAACTCTACCTACCACTTCCATGTCACAAGGAACATCTAATAAAATTCGCCATAAAATTCTGTTCTTTAGCTTTTCACTGCTGATAGCTAAAAGCCCTATTATTATTGTTCATTGTCGATAGTTGAAGAACATTAGAGCTCAGCAGCCTTTATCAAATTGATAAAGGAGCTTAAAACCACATCTGGCGAAAGTTGACGCAAGTTCTCTTTTCTAAAGCGAGAATTCTTTTCTGATATCAGTCCATACTCTTATCTAATCAGCAATAAGGTGTTTCTAGTGTATAGCCCCACCAATCGTTTGATCGGCAGCTTCTCAGACTCTTTTTTCGATCTAAGTAGATGTCTCATGACCTTTAAAGTAAGGCTGGGAGTCATATGCACCCAAGTGAGATACTGTTTCAATTTTTTGCAAACAAGAAGTGTGATGGCTTATATTATGGAATTTTTCGATTCGCAAGAATAAATCGCCGTAAGAATTGACAAAATTCTTACGGTAGTAGATAGATCGCGGCTACTTTAGGTTACGGTAGGACGAAGACCAATACGTGCTTTGGAATTTTTTATTGTTATACATCCAGTGGAAGTTGATTTTTTATTTATTACTTTGGAATGATTTTCTATTTATTACTTGGGAATAGAAAACCGGAAATGATCAGTTTACTCACGAACGATGTTTGTTCGACATTGTTTCGCATTGCTGAAGCTCAGTCGTTTGGTGATTTGAATTTTGTCTCTTACGTGCCTCTCTTTTATCTCTTACGCTAATCTCTGCCTTCTCTCCATCTGTCTGATCTATAGGCTTCGAAATCCTGAGGAGTACAAGTATTTCTATGCATTCTCAAAGTAATAATACTCTCTGAGACAACAGGTTGCAATCACCACGGTTGCTCTTTCTGAAAATTCGCTATAATTATTATGGAATAGACAACTAGTAGTAAGAATCGAATCACATCACATTCCATCAACGATTTTGCTAATTTTCTATCCCGGAACAGCAAAAGCATTGCTTAGTCATTTTCTATCCATTGTTGATGTCTCATATTTCATCCACTGATTAATGCTCTCAACGAATTTGTCAAGTAATTTTGTCGTTTCTTGAGAGGTTGAGGCTGTGAATGGTCATTTTCGGAATATTATTGAAATTTTCAAAATTCATCATAACCATTTGATGCGATAATATTTGAGTCTTGAGGCTTTATTAGTGTTAGCAGAAAAAATTTTGCCTCTATACTACAGCAGTACAATGTGTTGCAAAAATATCTGCAAAAAATTAAAATCGAAATCGATAAAAGGTTCAATAATAAAATAGCAGCTTGATTTCAGCATTAATTATGATTATCTATGTATTTTAGCTATAAAAAGATGCTAATCAAATATTTCCACGAATGACCACCATTTTCGAGTTTTATCTGTGATTTCCTGAAGTATGGATATCTTATATATAAAGCTGAATGTCTGTTTGTCTGTATGTCTGTCTGTCTGTCTGTATGTATGTCTGTGTGTACGTATGTTCCGAATAGAAAATTCCATTTCTGAACCGATCCGGACCAAACTTGGCACACATACACTACGGGCCCCGGCGGGTGTCATAGGCTACTTTTCGTCATCGATCGATATCGATTTTATCGATTTTTATCGATTTTTTTGCTGAGTTCACCTACGGGGCTGGGAGTTGGCACAGGGGGGTAATCGAGCATGGGGATTCCGAATACAATATTGGTTTTTAGGATTATCGATTACTTTTATCGATTTTATCGATTTTTTTGCAAAGTTTGAGCTACGGGGCTGGGAGTTGGCACAGGGGGGTAATCGAGCATGAGGATTCCGAATACAATATTGGTTTTCAGGATTATCGATTACTTTTATCGATTTTATCGATTGTTTGCAAAGTTTGAGCTACGGGGCTGGGAGTTCGCACAGGGGGGTAATCGAGCATGGGGATTCCGAATACAATATTGGTTTTCGGGATTATCGATTACTTTTATCGATTTTATCGATTTTTTTGCAAAGTTTGAGCTAGGGGGCTGGGAGTTGGCACAGGGGGGTAATCGAGCATGCTGATCATCCCCAAGGGGGATGATCAGCATGCTCGATTACCCCCCTGTGCAAACTCCCAGCCCCGCAGGTCAAACTTTACAAAAAAAATCGATAAAATCGATAAAAGTAATGGACGATCCTGAAAACTAATATTGTGTTCGTAATCAGCATGCTCGATTACCCCCCTGTGCAAAATCCCAGCCTCGCATGTCAAAATTTACAAAAAATCGATAAAATCAATAAAAGTAATCGACAATTCTGAAAACTAATATTGTATTCGGAATCCCCATGCTCACTTCCCCCCTGTGCCAACTCCTAGCCCTGTAGGTGAACTCTGCAAAAAAA